CTGCTGAACGGGCACCCACACAAGGTAAGGTCCAGGCAGGTCTACCCATGTGTGGGGAAACTGAGGCACACGGCACCGCTGGGTTCAGCCTGTGGGAACTGGACTGACTGCAGGTTTGGGCAGAGGGAGGCTGCCGGGTTGTGCTTCAAGGCGCCAATTCCCCGTTGAAGCAGAGCCTGGAGTGGCAGGAGGCAGAGCGTAGCTGTCCTCCCTACCTGCCCAGGCAGGGCCACCCCTTACCCTGTCCCTGTGCCACCTGTCTGCCCAGCCACAAGGAGATGGGGTCCCCTTTGGTGGGCTCCGCCCTGCCTGATCCATGCCCTTCCGTGCCCCCAGGGTGGTGAGTGCAGCGACACCTTCTCCACCTTCGATGTGCCCATCTTCACGGAGGAGTTCTTGGACCAAAACAAAGGTGAGAGGCTGGGCTGTGGGATGGGGGCTGCGGCATCTTGCTTAGGGGATGGCTGCAGCAAGCAATGCCACTGCAGAAGCGACCCGCATCCCATGGGGCAGAGCCCCGGCTGGTGCTGGGTGCGAGATCCAGGCTGTGAAAGGTCCCTGGTGAGGTTGGATAGAGGCACCAGATCCTGGCTGGAGGCTGGGGATTGGTGACACTGAGCTGCTTGGAAGAGTCGTAGCTGGGGAAGGAGTTGGGTTTGGGATGAAGGAGGTGGTCAGAGGTCAGACAGCCACCCCTGCTGACATCGCACTGTCCTGGCAGCCCGGGAGGCTGAGCTGCGGCGCCTGCGGAAGATGAACACGGAGTTTGAGGAGCAGAACGCCATCCTGCAGAAGCATACGGAGAGCATGAACTGTGCTAAGGAGAAGCTGGAGCAGGAGCTGGCCCAGGAGGAGAGGCAGACCCTGGCCTTGCAGCAGCAGCTCCAGTCCGTGCGACAGGCCCTCACCGCCAGCTTTGCTTCCCTCCCCATCCCCGGTGAGTGCGGGGCAGCCGTGGGGACCAGCCTGCTGCTGGGACTTGGTGGCCACGCGGAGAGGGATCAGGGTGGTGATAAATGCTCATCTGCTGATGGGACGGGAGCCTGGAGCACTTTGGGGGGCTCTCTGGGGACCCCAGGGATGTGATACCCTCCCTATAATGGGGTGGGGCAGGCTGGAAACTGTCCTCCTCTTGAGTCATGGTCACAGCTGTGCCCACAAAGAGATTAGCCCAAATCCTTTTGTTCCTGGGCTTGTATTGGTGCGGGCTCTCTTCTGCTGCAGGAGATGGCACCTAGTGTTCACGGTCCCTTCCCCAGTCATGAGCACGATGGGCAGGGCTGGATGGGGATTTACTGGCCCTGCTAACTGGGCTGCTGCTTCACAGGTACCGGGGAAACCCCCACGCTGAGCACTCTGGACTTCTACATGGCCAAATTGCACAGCGCCATTGAGAGCAACCCGCTGCAGCATGAGAAACTGGTGGTGCGCATCAAGGAGATCCTGTCGCGGATAGCCAGGTGAGCTGGGCACGGCTGGCCGGAGCCGGCGCCCAGGGGCCCCAGTGTCCTGGCGAGCACTGGTACCACTGGGTAAGCCATGGCAGGGTGGGTGACGGGAGCTGAGCAGAGAAGGTGCGGGCAGAGGGGCTCAGAGCTGCTCTGGACAGCTGTGGGAGAGAGAAGCCAAACCCTGCAACTCAGCCTGGCTTTCCTCCCTCTTTAGTGAACATTTGTGAAGAGGACCAGTCCCTCTCGGAGTCTGGGGCTGGCCGGACCACGGCCCTGTCCCTTGGAGCTCACGCAAGGGACAGTCTCTGCTGGTGGTCCGGCTGCTTCCCCCCTTCACCCCACGCACCTCTCTGGAGAAGTGAGCTGGGACCCCCAGAGCCCCGGTGCAGCTGCATCCACTGCGGCTGCACCATCTCCAAGGACCTCACCCTTCTGGGGACCATGCAGTGACAGGGCTGAGGGACCCCAGCCGGCGCGGTGCTGGGCGAGGTGGTCAGCAGTGGGTGTGAGCGTCCCCCTTGCTCTCCTGTGAGCTCCCCAGCTCCTGCAGCTCCGCCTCGCGAAACCAGAGACTCCCAAAGGCCGTCTGATGGCAAATGAGGTGCCTGCGGGTGCCTGGAGTGAATCGGCCTCTTCCAGGGTGACCTGGGGGCTGCTGTTAACTGGCCTGTGATGGGGGGGGAGGCAGTCGGATGCCCTGAGACCCCCTGGGGCTAAGCGCTGCCTCCTGGCCCCTGCGTCAGCCCAGGGAGCCTCTTGGTCCCCTGTCCTGAGGTGGCAGGCTTCCTTCTGCTCTCCTCTTGCTTTATTTAATCTTCCTGCTTCCCTTTGCTGCTCCCCTCTGGGTGCCTTCAGCCCCCCCTGCCGATGTTACCCTGCCTGTCACCTCTTCTTCCCCCATCTCTGGGACCAGGCAGGGCAGCTCCCGCCCTCTGCAGCAGTGTCTTCGTGCTGGAGGGAGAGCTGGTACCGACCCCTTTGTCCCCACGGCGGGGAGCCTGCGGGGCGGTGCACGGGGTTTTGGCTCCTGCATCCCTGCCGGAGCCCATCCTGCATCGTGGGACCACCGTGACGGCAGCTGTGTCCTGGCCACGCTGCGCTGGGGTCAGCCGTCCCCGGGGCTGCCTGTCACTAATCTCAGACTGTGTAATTAGAGAGTGTCTTATTTTCTTACTAGCACTACGTTGATCTGGCCCTGGGTTTAACCTGGGGCTGATGTGCGACCGCTCGTCTCTCGCCTGCAAGGTCTGTGCTCTGTAGATGAGTCTCCTGGTTGCCATCTCCTGGTGGCCGCTTGGCTTGGGATGGAGATGGGAGCAAATAAACGTGGGAGAAACAACCAACTTGGGCTCTGTGTGTTCATGCTCTGAGCTGCTCCCAGCCCTAATCCTGGGGGCTTTGGGGTGTGTAGGGTGACGGCCCTGAGCTGCAGCCCCCAACCCCAGCTGGGGAAGGTGCCGGCTCTTTGTCGGCTGCTCTCCCACCTCTTCCAGCCTGCCCGGGGCCCTTCCTATGTGGCAGAGCTCACCCGATCCCAGGTGGGTTACCTGCGCCGCGGGATCGGGTTCCCGTGCCCGGGGATCACCTTACGGCCCAGCCGGGAGCCAGCACCCATCTATAATTCAGCAGTGCCGGCAGC